GTTAGCATTGTATATGCACGTATTACATATTTCAGGTGACAGAATTAGATGAATTGCATCTCGCTTTTTACATTATATATTACATCAATGACAATATAAATTTATTAAACTATATAATTTGATTAAAGACCAGTCCAGACCCGGTCCTAAATTTTGGACCAAAGACTACTTAAACCGGTTCAAAAGACCGGTCCAGACCACGGTCTTTTGGGACCGTAACATCCCTAGGCCCTGGTGGATACATAATTAGTCTACTTTTGCATGTGTATTTTGTGAATTTATTTTATTGTACCGTATTGATATCGATGTATATTAACCTGTATATGATCAAGAATTTTTTATCCCGTATATTATTTTTATTAGCTGAAAGCTAGCCAGAGGCTATATCAATAAAATGACCCTGATGGCTCATATACATATATATTCGTGTTTACTTTTGCTTATGTATTTTTTGGAATTTTTCTGATTTTTTCTTGGCATCAGTGTGAAGATTCTTTATGCGTACGTAATTTTCTGCTCATATCTATAATTGCTACACGGAGCTAGTAACCTTGAATATGACACTTCTGTTTGCTAATTAGTAATTGCAAACCACAGTTAACCATCAAAATACCATTTAAAAATCATGGCACTTCATGCCTGGAACCTTGCTTTATTATAATAATATATATATATTGCCGAAATGCGTACAAATAAAAATATAAATTAAAAAAATTAATTTCTTGGAGGATCTACATAAATATGAACGCCATTTTCATCGAGGGTAGAAGTAAAGTCTTTAGAAATTTTAATCATTGGTTTAAAAATAATACCATTGGAAAATGAACGTAGAATGATTTGAGTAGAAGGAATAAAATCAAATAAAGGTGCCAAGCGTTTTTTTACCATATGTTTAAGCAATTCATACTTTTTATTTTCAGAAATTTCAATTGTAAAAACTTCATCTTCAGAGTATTTTCCTTTATCATTAATGAGGACACAGTTAAGGTTAATAATTGCCATTTTGGGAGGACTCTGCAAAAAATAAAAACCCATAGTTAATAGAAAGTAACGAAATAAAATCTCTTGTATAAACAATATATGATAACCGGATCTTGGAAGTAAATTGCGAATATGTAAAATTTTTTCAAAGATGACATGGCAAAATATATATATAAAAGCAATGTTATTGCTACCTAACTAATCTTATGGGCGGGAACTTGCTTATTTTATACTGTTTATTTGCTAGATCTAAAAAACAGACTAATAGAAAAAAATATACGATTAGTAATTATGTTACTCTAACACAAACTAGATCCTGCTACATAAAGCAACTCTGCTCGGTCATAAGTTCCAAACACTGAGCCTATTTTCTGGTAAAATTAACCCCCTTAGATTCGACGATCGCTTAAGGTGGGTTTAGATTTGACGATCTGGGAATTCCAAGTTCCTGCAACATATGAATTTGGACCAAACTACTGATTAAGAACATTATACGTATTACCCTTATAACCTTTTTAAGTCTCATTCTTGTCGTGGGATCTTATATAATAAGAAAATGGTCTAGATATAATTCATAATATTCGTTATAAATCAAAAAATCGACTGTGAGAAATAATTCTGCAGGAGAGTGTCACAAAACCTTATATCTAATTTTGTACAACTTGTTGAAGTACTATTTAAAATAGGCGAAATATAAGATTCGTTATGCTAAATTTGTAATACAAATGTTCATTGGATTTCGAATATTCGGTCTAAAAAAAATCATGATCGAACTTGTGCCATACGTACCCGTTGTGTTAAAATAAAGCATATATGTTTGCAGATATTAGTGTATTACTATATTGCTTATCGTTATTCAAATTAACTGATACCAGATTATATTATGCATAGTGAATTATTTTAAAATTTTCTTCAGAACAAAGTTTAAATATGATATTTCATTTTTGTATCAATTGAAATTTAAATGCAGTGTTTCATTAGGGTGTGATCCTATATTAGATATATATTAACAAAATTATAATTATTTTAATCTGGCACTAATTTGATTTGTGATTAATAATTTTCACGAAGCAAATTGAATTTTTTTGTTTATATTTCTGAGTTATTTCTAAAAAGAATAGTTTTGGTACCAATCAACATAGTAACATATATTTATTCATGTAATTTATTACCATGCGTAGTAAATTTCTTGCATATAACTTAAACCATTCTTTCTATATGTTCTGGCGTTACAAGAATATATATATATGATTTCTTGTGTATATGCCTTTTTGTTAAATACTCGGGAGAAATAAAAAATTTTTAGCAAATAAACTACTTGTTTTTATTTAAACAAATTCATAACATTGCAAATAAACCAAGAAAATAAATCGATAAATTCAGATCTTAGCATTAATTATAACCATACAAAAGCTGTTATGCTTGGTAAAATTATCATCATCTTAGCTACCTTCTTGTTTCAATGTGCATTATCGGGGAAGACAATAACCTTTCAGACGCCAAATATTCTCTCCATCTCATACATCAAGAGCGAACTATGGGAGAACTGTATGAGAGAATTGCAGACAATAGTAAAGTTATCAGAACTGACTTCATTTACCTTATGCACTGCATTAAAATTTTTAGCAAATAAGGACCCCCGACTCCTTCCCAAACATAAATGACAAATATAATGGTAAAGCTTTTTACAAATGGATGATGAGCAAAGAATACAGAGAATATTTCCATATTTCCAAATTCAATGTTAGCTGCAGTGCTAATGGTCAGCTTGTCAGCTATAATCCTAGTGATCCCGATTATATTGATCAAAGCAACCCAACCAACAATCCTGAAGAAGTTATCAATGTTGAATGCAATCCTTATAGATATACAAAAAATTATATTACATATACAGAAGAAGGTATATTTTTTTTTTCACCATCTGATATTTATATCGAATATCCATTAAATGGGATATGGTGGAATAGAAATAGAAAAAACACATGTTTAAATGTCTTTGACTCTAGGCATAGCCAATTAGCTCGATCTGAATGAAAACTCCAATATAGTCTGTTAGGATATGATGCACCGTTTATTTACGGCAAAGTTCATATAAAGGTTTGTTATAGTCGCCAGGTTTCAGTTACAGTAAGTCGCACTATCTTTCCCCGGACTCTTCTTTACATTAATAGCAAAAAAGTCGGTGAGCAAGCACAGATTAAGCTTGGTAACTTTATTCTTTCCGGGGTCAAAAGTATTCTAAGGATGGTCACAGAAATTTAGCTTCTAGGGGTCAGGATTTAACATGGAATAGAAAAGTCTAAACTAGTGACAGCATCATATATTATAAATTATAAATTATAAATTATATAAGTTGTTCTATTTTTTATTTGATTACTATTTAACATAAGCGTGATAATAAATAAAATTCTTGATGCAAATCACAGTATCAAAAAGTTTTATATATATTTGGATCTGACTGTGAAATATCATTCGCTTTCTGAGACTAGAATTTACTAGTGCAAAAAAAAGTGATTTTCGTGAACTCAGATCCTGTATTATTTTTTATGATTTCGAATACACTATGTGAGAAAGCAGTACTTTTGGACTCTCGACTTGATCATTCATGTGATAATTAATTACTTTAAATGACCGAATGAACTCTATAAAATTCACGTTATCCAAAGTTGAAAATCATAACTCCAAATAATGTGCTATTAATTAAATCCACATATACACCTATTCTTTTTGTAGCCAAACCTACCCACCCTTTGAATATATTCACTGCCTCCAATCGAATGTGTACTACATAACTAATAACGATAGCACTTATTTTAAATTTATTTATCACACAACACCACATATAGCGATATACGATTAAAAGTATATTATCGGGTAGAGCCAAATGCCTATTAATAATCTAATCCTGAATATAGAAAATGTGTAATTGTTGGTTGATCTATCGTGTTCAATAATTGTGGTGCCGAATTTAGTAAACACGCAATTGTTTGTTTGTTAGTAATTATTATGATACCAAATAAAAATTGTTAGTTGACTCATGTTGGATTATTGCAATGTCAAGTCATTTATATTGTATATTGCTTTGTATCAGATTGTTATGTACTAAATAAGAATAAGTCATGATTTATAATAAAAG